ATTTCCACTTTCCTCCTGGTGGTACCTGTTCAGCCATCATTAGCTCAGAGGGAAAAGGCAGGATCTCTGGATTCCAAACCACGCACGTGACATTGCAGTCTGGAAGACCATTTGAGAGAGCTTACACCATGTCACTGCATCAGAGGGCTGTCCTCCAGCTGCTGGCCCTTGAAAACCTCCAAAGCAGGAAAAGAGGTGAACTAAGGCAAGAACTGATTTTCTGGAGCCATAGCAAGTTTCTCTTCTGATCGACAGCTCCCACCAGTTGATCAGAGTGGGGCTGACCCCAGGTGCACTGGATCAGCAGATGGAGCAGGGTCACTTCCACCCCATGCTGTACCCAGCACCTCCTCCCAGCTCCTTGCCCCTGCTAGGCTGTAGTGGTTGTGCCTTCTCCCCATCCTCTAGGTCCCACCAGCATGGCCACAAGCATCTGTAGAGGCTGCTCTGAGTGTTCTCCTCATCCCAGCCACACCTGTCAGCCAGAAACCCGTGTGCCAGCCCCCAGGATGTGCCAGGAGCAAGGCAGGGTGTGACCTGTGCTGCCAGGCTGCCATGTGCACTGTCTCAGTCCCAGATGGATGACAGCCCCAGGACCTCACTCTGAGGGCTGCACCACCATCATAACAATCTTCCTCTACTTCAAAGCCCCCTTTCTCACACTTCCTTCCTTTGGTAATGAACCTTCAATTTCCTCCAGGTAAATAAAGTGAAACTGGAAAGAACTGTAAAACAAAGCATAAAAGTAGCTGAGCTGGAGAGTTATAGCCTGCAGTGTCTCTGGGAATGGGTTGTCCTGTCCTTGCACTGCAGTTTCTAGCCTGTTGTCTCCTAGTTTGTTTGCCTTTTTCTTCCCAGATTTTAGCTCTAGCATGCAACCTTTCCTGGAGCATTTGGAAACATGCTAATAGGTAGGGAGGCTCCTCCCATAGCTCCATTTTTATTAATGGGAGGATCAGAGAAATTGCCACGTTTTTAACATCACTTTTTGCAGTAGCTATTAAAGTTCATGGTGTAGAAACAGTAAACTCATTTGTTGACAACACAAAGCTCTGAGGTCAATTCTTCTGTATGAGGTTTTCAGGTGCTAGGAAAGCATGTGTTTGTTGCTCAGTAGGTTATGTGGTATTTTCATTTGGAAGTGACATTTTCCGTGACATTTTACTTTAGAACAATAGCTGGGCAAAATCGAAATTTCAGGTCTGTAGCAGAAGAGTAATGTCTATTACTTAGTCTATTTAGTGACTTGCACCATTTATACATTTTGTCTGATTGCATCTCTTTTCACAAAATCCAGTTTAAATGCATTTTGAAGAAGGGAGGGTGCTGACTGGTTTCAAATGTGCTGGTTTGCAAACTTGCAGACCAGCTTGTCCTACTCACTGGTGAAGATAAGAGGGCTCAGATGAAGAGTTTTGTGTTGCTGGAAACACAAGCAATTTTCTCAGGAGATTGCTTTGAGGGAGATTGCAGCAATATTGCAGCCCCACTGTTACTGGTGGGTATTGCCGCGTGCATGTATAATTTGTGTTAGATAAAATCAGGAGGTAATAAAGACAGGTAAAAAGAAGAGATGAGAGATCTGCTGTGTAGGGCTTTTTCCTTTCCTTTTCTTATTTTACTTAGGGAGAAAAAAATGTCCAGGGGATGTCACATTAATCTGGGGAGAAGCGAGTGCTGCTGTAAATCAGAAAACTTGTGTTATACCAAGTGCTTTATTTTGGGAACCATTTCAGTATGTTATGAAGGAAAGTTGCAGACTAGGCATGTTTACTAGACCTTTAATTGCTACATTTAGGAGAAAGGCGCTTTTTTTTTTTTTTCTTCTACCCTTCCCCCTCCCCTTTTTAATGACAAGAAGCCAGAGTTTGCTGTGCAAATGAAGCAGGCTTTGCAAGAATCAGATTCACTTTGGACGACTCTTCACATTCCTCGTCATCATTACATTAGGCAGCACAATTCCATCTCTGGTTGTTGGGCAGAAAAAGTGGGCAGCCTGCCAGGTAGACGTTTCCATGGCTCCCAACCCCCAAAGGTGATGCGTTTTTCAGCTAATTCAATGAAGAGTGGGCTGAACTTTGGGTATAAACTAGACAATAGCTGCCTTCGCAGTATCAGCAGAATGGTTTATGGGAATGCACTCCACATTTGGCAGAGCATCATGTGACCTTACGGCTGAGATTTTGTGATGGTGCCAACGGAGACTTGGAAAGCGGTGCCCGTTCTGACTTTTTTCCTCTTTTCTTACATGGCTCAGAAAATGGTGGATCTTAATACTTGACTTTAGCCAGACTCAGCAAGCAATTGAGCTTTGAAGCACAACTTTGCCTTTATTCTGGCTTTTTTGGCACACCACCAGGAGGCTGTCCCTTTCACGCCTGATAAATTCTGCTTCTTATCTCCAGATAGAAAAAAGAAAGAAAGAAAATATAAGCAGAATAATTTTACTTCATAACTGCATTTTAGAACTGCACGTTTTATTTTTTTATTGGTGACATGTAGTTTAGAGCAGCCCTCCTGAAGGATAAAAGTTGTTATATTTTTATTTTTTCTGGGTTTTCTTTTTTTTGTTGTTTTTTTTTTTTTCTCCTTCCTCCTGTTTCATGAACAGGCGTTTCAACTGGGCAAACGGGGCGACAGCATTGAACATGAGATCATTGCAGCCTAGTGTAGCAAACTGGCACCCTGCCTTTTCACCCCTTTGCTCCGGCACATTTGTGCAATCCCCATTTATAAAAACCGGCGCAGGGGTGAGGTGAATTTTCTGGTCTCTCCCCACCTCTTGTCCTGGGCAGGCAGTTGCGGCAAGGATTGGTGCAGCTTTTGCGCAGTGCTTTGTGCCTGGAATTCCGAGAAGAGCGAGAGAGAGAGAAGACAGGGATCCTGGTCTTCTTCCGAGAAAGAACAGGAGCCCTAAGAAGAAGAAACAAATCTGAGTTTGTCCTACATACAAGAGTAAAGAAAAAAAAAGTGACTCTCCTGCTTCCAAAAAAAAAAAAAATCTGGCATGTTTCACTACAGAGGCATCACGACGTGTTAGAGCTTCTTAAAACAGTGTAACAAAATGAGCATAGGAGATTGTTTCTTTAAGTTAAAAAAAAAAAAAAAGAAAGAAAAAAGAAAGATGGAATTAATTTTTTGTTTGTTTGCTTGGTTTTTTCACTATTGCTCACATAGCAGTATTTGGCACTGGGTGAACACGTACCTTTCATATCAGGTATAGCTTCTCTTTTTTTTCCTTTTTCTTTTTTTTAAGCCTTTTTAAACATGTTGTTCTGCAATCGAGTTCTTGTGTATTATTTTAACGTGGTCTTCTCTTTCCACTTTTTAAAACTAACTTTTTGGGGGTGTTTGATCTTATGCTGCTAAAGATAGAAAGTAAACAAAAAATCGAGGGTCTATAGAATAAGTGGTTAGGCACATTTTGTCTTAGCTAAGCACTGGAGTTATGCAAAGACCTTAATGTTACATTTACTCAGTCTAAGCTTTGGTTATCTCTAAGAAAGTTGTGGGTATTTAGATCTGGTTGCTAAGGAAATTAAATTCTTTTTTTACAGTGTGACTCATGCTTTCAGTTTCTAAAGAGAAGAAGTGAAAAAAAAACCCGTGTTAAACTGCAGGAAAGGATCGCTCTTGTAGCCTGTATATTAAAGTTGTAACTGAGTTAATTCAAATATGAGTTTCTTACAGTTTGTATCTAAATCCGTTACAAAGAAATCAGTGTGATAAGCACTGGAATAAAAGGCACATTATTGGGACATTCATGAAGCACGCCTGGTTTGCAGCCAGTAACAGTAACTATTTTAACATATTTAGAAAGGCAGCACTTGTCCAGGAATAGCTGAAAACAGTATTTAAGATACCCATTCGGGATGTTGTGATAAGTGCATGTACAGTTAAAGTAAGTTTTGAGCATATGACGCTTTAGAAGAGCCTTTCACTTAAGGCAATTGTCTGTCTGTTGTAACATACTCCTAAACGATTAGAAGAGTGTGCAACAAAATTCATTCTGACTGACACATTTTGAAGATCTTGGTCAAATAGGTGTTTTATATAGTTTAGATTTTTTTTAAATATTTTCCTAGTCTTTTTAATTTATGTTAAAAATGCAGATGTTCTCGGCTAGAAATTACTTTAAAATTACAGTGTCTCTTTCATCAGAAACTCTTACATTTGTTGTTTTTTCTTCAAAATCTTCATGATATTTTCATCTCTAATAAAAAGCTTTATAAATATTCCTTTATGAAATAGAACTGTTTTAACATATTCTTTACTTTCTATACATTATTGAGTAGAGAGTAATTTCTAAGATTATATGCTAGTTTTGCTACTTTATATTTTTGTTGTTCTGCAATGAATTCTGGGAAGTTGCTGAATGGAGACCTTATATATATGACACATACACCTCCATATACTCATTTTGGACCAGAAAGTGTTTCTTAGATTTATGGTGATACTGCCCTCCCCAATAGTTTGTTGGAATAGTTTTGTTTGTCATTGATACCTAAGCCTGTTGAGAAACCAAGGCTTGCGTTAGCTTAAAATAACTTTTCAAATTTCTCTATCTGGTCAGACAAATCATTTCCCTCCCCTCCCCATAAGTTTTTGAAAATGTTTCTTAATTTAAGCCACTTAGTTTATGCCTGTATTTTTCTGAAGTTCCGTACCTAATTACCTCATTGTGTTCACTGCTTGATAAAAAGTACTCCCTTTTGTTAAGTTTGCTCCTTCGCTTCTGAAATTCCTAATAGAAATTAAGTATTTGTAGGTTGAATAAAAGGCTAGAAAATAATAAAAGAAAAAGACCCTTTTCCAAAGCGTGCATGTTCACAGCATGTCTTCCCATGGCCCTGCAGAGGGGCATCAGCAGTGTCGGGTTTATATCTTAAAAGCATAGTTACTAATTTTATGTATATTTCATGTTCAGAAAACACTTCACATGAAGCAGGTATTTCAAAATCTTTCTCTCACTTTCTGATTTTACTCTTTTTTTATTTTAGTGAAAGAAAAATTAAAATGAAAAAGGAAAATGAAGAAGTTCATGATACCAGATTTCAGCGAAGGTAATACAGTGCTCTTAAATACCTTTTTTTCTTTTTTTTTGGTTATACAATAAAGCTATTGGCAAGAATCTGAAGCAGCTTGAAAAATATATTTCATTAAGACAGCCTACAAGTATAATTTCAGAAATGTTTATTAAACTTTTTCTCTCATTATTTGCTGTTGGGAATGTTGCAGCTTGTGTAGCTGTAACTGCATAAAAATGTAGCTTTATACTGTATGTTTACATGAAGCTTAAGAATTAATTGAAAAATCAAAACAATTTGTTCTTCGGTTAGGCCTACCAGATATATAAGATATATAAGACATATATTTACTAATATGGTCATATTACTAATATATTTGTAGTACATATATCTAGTTTCTATGTAATTATAATGCAGTGACCAATTTTTTTTTTCAAATGTGAAATATATTTTCTATTCACAAAAATAAAAATGTAAGAAAATTGGAAAAGCAATTTTATAGCACTTATTACAATCATTCACTAAGTTGTATATGCAGTCTGCATTCCTGTTACTAGGATAACTGTTCTAGTTTGAGGGCTTGTCTGTACACATTCTCTACAGTGTCAGCAGAAAGCAGTTATAAAAATATTCCTTCTGAATGCTGAAGTGTTGCATAGAAAGTAAAAGCAGGTTTAAAAGAGACTTTTCTAGAAAATAAAGTTATTTTAAAATGCAAGAGGGTATGAACATGCAAGATTTAATCCACTAAATTAAAAAAGAAAAGGAAAGGAAACGGTAATTCACTAATGCTCAGCTGTCATTATTGAACATGTTGAAATCTGCAAGAAAATGAAACATTGCCTTGGTAAAAAAACTTTGCTATTGACAAACATTTATTCTCTTGAGAGGTGTTTTGCCCAACTAACAATGGCAGAATTAGGACTATGGTGAGAACTAGTGGAAGGAAGGCATTAAAATTTTATTCTGATACAGATTTCAGTTACCTGTTCAAATCAAAAGACACCTTTATATGGTGCCTGGTTTTGAAATTGTACCTGCATCTAATGGCTGCATTTTACAAATGCTTTCACATTTATATTGTTGCAAGTTATTCTGATGTGTCAGGTTTTGTGCTTAAAGGTGCAGCATTTATCAATGCTTTTGGTTAGAGCATAAAAGTTATAGAATTGTGTCTGTGTTTTGCCCCAAAGGAGCCGTTTTCAGTCTGTTGTTTAGGGCATCCTACATTCAGTGTAGGATAATTTTTAGTGGGTTGCTTGCCAGTCACAAGAAGGATGGATTTGTTGTAGGTGTTAACCCTGAAGTTTTGCAAGATTGCATTACCCCTTACATTCTCATTACTAGGGAATTGAATTGATGGGAGGGTTAGTGAATAAAATACACAAATAAACTTCTTCGCTTTGATTAGTGGCTGTTATCTAATCAACAAGTTATTGTCAAGCAGTACTTTAGTTGCAATGTAATGTGAAGAAATCGCTATGCAGTTTTCACAATGTTGTATGGGAGCAGCACTCCACTGTGCCTTTTTGCGTACCAGATTTGGTGGGGTGCATTTTATTTTGAGTTGTAGTACATGATATGAGCTCAGACACAAAGGAAAACCTGTGCTGTTCACATCTTTGTCATGTCCAGTTTTTGATTGCAGTCGAGCACACCACAGTCAGAATCGAGTTGGGAGTTGGGGGTTCAGTAAAGCAAAGTGCACAAAAGCACGTTAGCTCCTGCTGAAGACAAAACAATCCATGGCCATTAAAGTGTAAAATTTTTTTTTCTTCCATTTTCAAATAGAAACTAGTCACAAATCTTTGGCTTGTTTGTTGCCTCCACCATTTATGCACTTAAGCTTGGAGGAGCCTTCTTTACAATAGATGGTAATATTTTCACTCTTGAGTACTCGTTCTCACATCGCATGGTATGTTTGTTTGTTTAAAGTCTTCTGCACTCCCTGTCAGAGGAAAACCCCGCCCAGCGATGCCAATTGGCATAAACCCGTAGATCCGATCTTGTGTTGAAACGCACTGCACAAGCTCGCTTCTATGGGTCTGTGTCAGTGTGGTGATCTGGCAAAACTTCACGCAGCACCCACTGCAGTGGTGTTTGACAACAAGCCCAAATGAGAGTACAAAACCATGTACTGATTTTGGAATTCTTCTCTTGTCCATTGCCTTCCAACCTGATTAAGGGATTTGTTCTTTTATAGGTTGCTTTAAGCATCTTTGGCTTAATATCTTATTTAAATTTAGAAAGAGGTGTGAGGGAATTGTAGGGTTTCCAATGAGGGAGTATAGTATATACAATTTCCTGACGTTATTAAATATGCATTCCATGGTATTGCACTCAAAAAGAAAGAAGATATTTATATTTTATTCTTATTGTAAAGTAAGACCAAACACTCATTTCTTTCCAGAGATGTTCTGGGCTTGCATCATCCCTATCAAATATGTATGCATATATATACACACACAACACACATATATATCTTTATACATATGTAAACAGGATAGAACAGAAGTTCTACCTCTGCAGTAGAAAAATCTATCTAAGAATATGCCTTATTGTCTGAAAAGTGGGGAATAACTGCAGTTGAAAGCCTCCCCCCATGGGAAGTATGTAGGCCAGTGGCTGCTGTCACATTTCAAAGAAAGGCTGAAGAAATGAAGAAGACTTTATGGTCACCGTCGGAAGCTGTGTGCATCCGGGTTGAGGTAGTAGGTTGTATGGTTTAGAGTTACACCCTGGGAGTTAACTGTACAACCTTCTAGCTTTCCTTGGAGCACACTTGAGCCATCGAGGAATTCATCACCACTTTAATCTGATCAGGGAAAATATGCAAAAAGGTATTGTTTCATGGCTGTACGTAATGATCACTCTGAGGCTTTATTGATGTTGAAATAGTCCTGATGACTTGATTATTTCATTTAAATCCTGTTATGAACAATGATGACACATTGCCTTAATGGACTGTGACTATGTACTGCAGACATTTAAGGAAAGAATGATGATTATTTTAATTCCATTAAAAGGAAAGCTTTAAAAGTTATTTTCATTTATAAACTCAGGAAAATACCAAGTACTTAATGCTTTTTTATTTCTTCAGGGAATAGCTTATCCTATACATTTGATTTTTGTTGCTGGCGTTCAATAGGTGTATATATTTTTGAAAAGGAAAAGAATATTTTCTTTTGTCCTTAAAATGCTTTCCATAAAATATTGCATGCTGCTGCTTGGATAGCAGTGGCAATGTCACAAGTTGATACTGGTCTTCCCTGGATTTATGATATTATTTCTTTTTGCCTGAAGAACTCAGTGTAACGAGCACAGATCCAAATGACCTGCAGGCCCACCTGTGTTCCCACCTTGCTGTGACTCACTGACCCAGCCCAGCCCCACTCTGGGGTTGCAGCACCTGTGTCCTTACACAGCACATCAGGGCAAATGTTGGGCCAGGGTCTGACCTGACCTAAAATGCCCTTGTCTGTTTTGGTCCTTGATTAATCTTTCTAGCTCAGCAGGACTTGGAGAAGTCACACTCCCTGTGCAAATGGTTTCCAAAACACTGGAAACTTCCTCCAGTGTCAGATCTCAGCACTAGGTGCCTCAACCCGCGTGGGATGGGTGCCATAGACAAAATTCTTCTCAATCCTGGTGTTCTCTGTGTGTCTGCATGCTTCTTTCTTTTTTTTTTTTTTTTTTTTTTTTTTTTTTTTTTTTTTAAGTGAATAGCAGAATGAACCAAGGTGGGGGAAAAAAAATCGCAGTCTGACTCTGGAGACAAAATTGGGTTTGTGGAAGTTTATGCCCTAATTTGCATGATCCCATTTCATTCTGGTCTGCAGCCTTCCTCATCCTGTCTGGAAAAACAAAGAATTGTCCATTAATATATATATCCCATGAGCAGGTATCCTGACAAAAAGAGACAAAAAGCATGAGAGTTTCTACTCCTAGAAATAGCTGTGAAGCAAGAGAGAAAAGAGCTGTGCCTGTATATTCACCATGTTTTTTTAAGTGAAGGCTACTTCTGGAACTGACCTCGAAGATGAGGCCTCCCCAGTGAGATGGAACACACATTATTGCCAAAGTCAGAGCATCTGGACCAGACAGTGATGCTCATTCCATAATGCCTGGGAAAAAGTGATACTGTCTTTTTCCACATACTTTTCCATAAAAAGTGAAAAGGAGTATTTTTTTTCAGTAATAATTTATCATAAAAGACAACAATAGTGATAATTTTGCTGGAAAGTGACTTAGGTTTGTTTATGGGCTCCGCAAGAGAGCGGAGCATGACACCCCTGTGGTGCCGTGGTCAGGGACAGATCAGACTCCTATGGGATGAGGAGAGGGTTAAATGTGACTGTTCCACATAAGGGTGAGGGATCTGTTCCTGGAGCTGCCAAGTTACCAGCAAGCTCTTTCCAGGGTATTTGGAGACCCTGAATTTCTGACTTTACTTTTATTAGAGGTGAACATAACAAGATGTTAGATGTTTCCAGTGTTTAGTTGTTTTATGTTTTGCATCAGCAAGGACAGTTAAGAATGTTTATTTTAAGTGGATCTGAAGGTTGATTGTATTTCGGTTGTGTTTTCTTTCCATGTCTGTGTATTAAAAAAATCATTTGCTCACAGGTCCCTGTGTTTGTCTCCTACCAGCTTAAGGTTTACCTGAACCCTTTTCTAGATAAGGAATAAAAGGAGGAGATGAAAATGGATTTTGTTTATCTTTTTAACAGCACTTATTTTCAGTGATTAATTTTTGTGATAGGAAATTGATAAAGAGGATCTGCATGACAGGTGGATCCAGACTGAATTTTAAGCCTGTCTTAAAGTATATGGGACAGAAGAGAGATGAGGTTGAGTGAATCAGAATTGCTCCAAGCTGATGGAAAATGCTTAAGGAAGCAGTGGGTAAATGGGAGGATAGAGGGGAGACCTCCATCAACCAATGAAGCCTAACAGGGACCACTCACAATCTGAATAAAAACTGCAATATCCTCTGTGGATTCAAAAAGACTCTGATCACAAGTACATTTTCTTTT